AGAGAGAGAGAGAGAGAGAGAGAGAGAGAGAGAGAGAGAGTGTGTGTGTGTGTGTGTGTGTGTGTGTGTGTGTGTGTGTGTGTGTTTCCCTAGAGGCTCATTACAAGGATGCATAGCACCTGTAGCAGCTCACCTCCATGATCAAGTTTCCAGTAATATTCCCAGCCCATTCATTACTTTTCCCTCCATCTCTGTGTTGTGTTCTTTTTGTGTTTTGCTCCAATGTGCCATGATTCTTTCCTTCTGTCTATCTTTGAATAATAAAACGAGAGTGTGGGTGAGAAGCCTGTTAAGTGGACTCCATGCAGCCCTGTTTCCTGCCTGCAGTCCTGACTTCTAAATTTGGAGGAATATGTCTGTCCACAGGTTTATTAGGATTATAAGTAGATGCTACCTCAAAGTTAGATGAGCAGTTTGGGACCATGCTGTTGATCCAGAGAGAAGAATCTAAGATGGATAATAACAAGTTCCTTTGTGTAAGCTAACATTAATGGGTTACTTTGTTACACTTTGTGCATTGTCTCTTTTAATCTTCCAGTAGGAAATGTTATTCCCATCTGAAAGGCAAGGAAATGGAATCTAAAAGAGACTGAGTTCCTTGACCAAGATTTTGTAACAAGTTAAGTGGTGGAGCTTGGGATGTCTGATGCCAAAGCCTCCATACTTTTGCTATTATACTTTTTATCCTCCGCTCTGTGGAATGAAGCTTCCTGTTTGCCATGCAAGGAAGATGAGTTTCATGGCCTGGAGGACCCCTCCTCACGTTTGTGTCAAGCAGCTAGATGATGTAGGATGGTGGGCCCCTTTCACATGAGGTTTCCTTTGGTGATAAAACCCTGAACTGTATACTCCTAGAAGTGGCTTTGTATCAATCGTGGGACTGTGGGTGCTTATCTGAGTGGTGTGGCAATGTGAATTCAATTCCCAGATTCTGTCTTTGTCATAGACAACTGTGCCAAATCCTCAGCAGTGTGAAGTTCTCTCGGTTAAGACTATCAATGTTTTGTTTTTTGCAGAGCCTGTGTCATCCTGGGGGTGATATTCCTTCTGTCATCCATATGTATAGTGGTCAAGGCCATCCATGACCTCTCAACCAGGCTGCTCCCAGAAGTGGTAAGGTCCCTCTTCATCCTCGACAATCCTTCCCAGAAGCTGTAGCTCCTAAGCTCCCTCTTACTACATGTTTGCTGGGGGAAGGTGGGCAGAGAGTATGTAACATTGAGGGGTCCACAAGAACTTGCTGTGGGGATACAGATGACTGGGCAGAGTGGAGCACTGGGCAAGACAAAGAGACCCCAAATAACTGAGCTGGTTCTGCTGGGTTCTGTGACCCTCTCTTTACATCTTTAGTTTTTTTTTTTTTTTTTTTTGAAACAGCATCTTGCTATGTAGTACAGGTTGACCTTGAACTTGCTTATGTAGCTCAGGCAGACCTTGAACCTTACAGCGATCCTCCTTCCTCGTCTTCCTGAGTGCTGGGATTATAGGTGTGTGCCACTACACCCAGCAGTCTTGGGCTATTTTTAAAATGTCTTTTATTTTTGGTACAAAGAAATGGGGCTGTTTTTGTGCAGCATTGTGATCCAATCTATGTTGTTCTCATTGTTCTGTATTTATTTAGTGATTGCTGTAATAAGGAGTTCTGTATTTTTTCCTTTGCACTTCAATTCAATACATAAATCTATTCACATCAGGTTTTCTAGCACAACTGGCTTTTTGGTATAGAAACTAGAGAACACAATTTCATATTAAAATATGCCTTAGACTACTTTGTCCTCTGGGTAAGAGTCATCACCTGAACTCTAATTGTTTTTTCCTTCTCCCCTTATGAATACCAAGACAAGAAATGTTTTATAGTCTCTTATCAGGCGATCTTCATGGAAGCAACCGATTTGCTTACTAGGAGATGGAGATGCCACCATTACAATATAATCTCCATACAAGTTCATAGCAATTTAAATGTAAAATATGGGCACTTCTCTCAGGATATGATTTGATTTGTGCCTGGCTGCGCACACCATCTCATATAAGGCCACAACGATCACATCTTTTAATTCCACTTTTAGAAAAATATATTAATCCTTTTGGGATCTGTTGCATTTGTGTGTGTGCTTAGAGGGGCGATGAAAATGAAGTGGAACATTCTGCCTTTGGTAGAGACATTAAAGTTGCTCCCTTAAACGGTTTCCTCACCTGCTTTTAAACTGCGATTAGAGCCATCTCTTTTGTGATCCACAAGGTTCTTAACTGGTATTTATCACTGCAATTGGCCTGAAGCTTATTCTGTATTATCTCAGTGACAGGCATGACAGATGCCAGGGCAGGAATGTACCTATTTAGTTACTTTCTGAAGTAGAGCTGGCTCCAGCAGATATTACTATTTATTATGCTCTTGTGTTCTTCATCTCCTGATTGCTGAATTCTCTTATGCCAATCTTCCTGATTGCCAGGGGTCTTAGGCTCTTCCATCATTTTCCATCCTTACACTCACTTCCCCGTGTTTCATTCTGTCACATTCTGAACAAATTTAAGCTATGAAGGCACAAAGTGTGATTATACATGTTCAGGTAACGTCTGCATTTTTTAGGGTACGGAAATATGTGTCAACTTTAAAGAAAGTTCATAGCTGGGAATTTTCAGCACTGCACTAGTTGACACATACATTTACTTAGGCATTGAAAATTAATTTTCCACCAGGGCCAAATTGGTGTAAAATGGCTAACTGTACTCACCATCCTAACTCTGCTCAATGTCCTTGTAGAGGCACTGCCTTCCTTGTTTATTTAGCTGGGAATATTCTCTTATACTGTGGTGCAAATGCTCATAAGTGGAGAATCCCACCAGTGTAAATTCCATCCCACAGTGTACATGTTAGTACCCTGACCAAGGTAGGGTTGAGAGAGGGCAAAGCCCTCCATCGTTGTACCCTGTATGAGTCTTGTCCTTGGGGAACACACACCTACTGGAATTTTTAAATTGGTTTCATCAGGTCCAGTTTTAAAGTTCTACCTATTTGTAGTCATCTCATTTATTTTCTTTTCTTTTTACCCTCAGCATTATCAGAGGTTAAGGAAGGGACTTTGAATTTTAACCTGCGTGAATCCCCTTCCTCCTCCCCTCAAGGGAAACTCTTCTATTGGCTGCCTGACACACAGTGGGTAAAATGCTCCCAGCTCATAGTCAAAGGTTTCTCAATTCCAGGTCTTCTGGTTACTTTATTCTGTACTGGGAGTTTCCAAAAGCCAGCAGGGTATAGCCAAGCCCCAGACCTCTGGCCTGCAATAATTCAGAATGAATATTCATCCATAATACTTCATGCAAATTAGGAGTCACCCATTCAAATGCAGCAGAAGCCAGTCCTGAATCAAAAATCAGAGAGGCTGGCGAGGTTGGTGGCAGCCAGAAAGCACGTGCCCACCTGTGGTTCCAGCCTCCCCCGGAGCTGTCTCATCAGAATAAGGACCTGTGTTGCCAGCTCTTACAAGTTTTTAGGAGAAAGTGGGAACTCGTACTTACTGTGAAATAAATTGGTGACGGATAAAAACATTTTTTGAAAACCGTGGTTGGGAGTGGGTAGATATTTTCACACGCACAGGTCAGGGAAAGCGTGCCTCTGGGCTGCATGCAGGGAGTTTGCTGCTGCTGGTGGAAAGCAGGCAACGAGTGTAGGGCTTGGGCAAAACCAGTCACTGTTCTTTTTAGGCCTCTGTGTTGTAAATGTTCCTGCCAGTCACACACCCAAGTCTTCGCCTCAACTACAGAGCTACATCTTTATATTCAGTTTCTGTTCTCTCACAAGCTCCGTCTTCCCTCCTACAACCCTCTTCCCTTGGCTGCTTTTTTTCTCATTCAGCTGCACAATTCTCAGAGCGAGAATAACTGCAACAGTAGGTTTTGAGTAAGAAAGCTGTGCAGTTAGGAATTGCCCAACCATAAAGTCAGCTGGCGCTGAGCCTCAGTGCTGTCCCTAGCTGTGCCAGCCCCTCAGGGTTTTGCTGGAGGAGGAACTGGGCCAGCCGAGCCGGAAGAAGGCTCCAGGGAATCTCCCCAAGGCTTCATAAGCAAATGGCTTGAGCCTGCTCTCTTACTACCCGCAGTCAATGGCTTTGTTTGGTTAATGAAACGGATTCCAAAGAGCCTTGTGTGAAGCTCTGCACTGATTGCAGAGCTGGAAGTCAGCATTGTGTGGGCATTGCTGTGATATAGAAGTCACAGTGCTGCTTTGTGTCAATGGGTTCCTGTTTAGTTGTTTATAGAATGAAAAAAAATAAACAAGTTGTAGACCAAGCTGAGCAGGTTCTAGAAACCCATGAGTTGAAATATCCTCAGACCACCTTACCCCATTACTTCTTACTGATTTTTAGTTGACGAGTAAAGTTGCCTGTATTTGTGGTAGCATGATGTTTTGCTTCAGGTCTACATCACAAAATGTCTACTATGGGCAGCTTTAGATGAACATCGTGCTCTTCCGCTTTTACCCCACCTACCCCACTATGGTAAGGAGGGCAGGTGGTGTGCTTCTCCTTTTTGCTAGGACATGGCGCTCTGAAAGCTGAAGTGACCTTCGGGAGGTTGTGAGCTGGCTGGTGGCAGAGTCTGGAGTTGAGCTCTTACCTCCTTGTCCAGGGCCATCTATTTCCGGTAACGTGGGCCTGTGTGGCCCTGCAGTCCACTGGCTTTTGGGGCTGGCCCTCCTGAATGTCTCCTCCTCCTCATACTGCTGCAAAGCAGGGCTGCTCTGGAGGGAGATACCCAGGTCCCCAGTGGGTGCCACCCTTGGTCTTTCTGGTTATTCCTGCCACCACTGCCCCGATCACACAGGCCCCGATCACAAAGACCCTCATCAGATGGAACTCACAGAAGGACAAGTGTGTGGCGGGGATGGGTTTAGGGGAAGCAGGGACTCATCCACACTATAGGCTCAGTGAGGCTGCTGAGTATGGTGCGGGTGTGTGAGCAGGTATTCTTCAGGTTCATCCTCCTGCCTGTCTCTTCTTACCTGGGTGGCCATAGGCACGTCCCATGTGCTCACTGACCCTTTGTTTCCTTGTGTGTAGAAAGGTGACATTGCATTTGCCGAAGGCTGAAAATAAGGTTATGCTCAATTTATTTAAAATAAGTGGCATTAGAGGACAGTACTTCTGTGGTTGACTTTTTTTGTGGAGAATACAGGCATGATTGGCTCTTGTCCTACTTTATGGGGTTTCAGAATTGCTAATCAGAGTTACCCCAACTCAGGCCATGAGGTGATTTAGGACTGGGCTCATCTTTCCTGCCTCTTGATGTGTTTGCCTCTGACCTCTGGGGGTCCTGCCCTGGTTTCCTGGCTGGGATTGGCACACTTGCCCATAGGATTCAGGTGGCCATAGCCAACATGGAGCCACTCAGAGCACACAGAATGTGCTGCTGGAAGGCCTGACTGCTAAGCCTCACCCACCACCTTTGGCCAGGTGGCTGTAAGCAAATCATTTCCCTTCCGTGAGAACAATTTCTTCATTTGTAAAATGGGTGTAGTACCACCTGCTTCACAGCAGCGATTGTAGGCAGTAAATGATATAATGACTGTGGAACTGCTTTCTCAACTGTTACATGTTTTGCAAAGGAAGGAAATGATGTTTCTGGTTCAAGACTCTAGAATCCCCATCCTTTGCTTTCCCTTGCACTTTCTCTCTGTGTCTTGATCTGTGACCAACCTGTCACCTTCTTCTGCCTTGAGTGGACCATGACTTTTTTACTTTGAGCTCTGACCCACTGTCTCGAGCCAATCACCTTCCATGGTCATGTGTTAACAATATTGATTCCAGGGTTAATTGTAATAGTAAATAAGTCACATGTTGGCAATCAAGGACACACAGCTGTATACTGATACTAACAGTAATTGCTACCACCTGAGCTTCTGCTCATTTCCAGGCCCTCTGTCTAGGTACCTAGGATTCAGAATCAGATAATAGTAAAAGCTGGAAGTTTTCCATTGCTCTACAGAGCCCTTTACTTTCTTCTAGGGGATGCCTCAGCTTTTGTTCCCAAGGAGCTCACAGTGCGGGAGAGTCCCATGAACTGGTACCAACAGTGCTGGTAATGAGGCCTGTGGGAGAGACCATCACATGAGAACA